CGAACCCGCCACCTTAGGTGTACGTGGCTGGCGCCTTAGCCGGTTGAGCTATAGGCGCCGAGCCAGTTTTTCTATTTTTAGTAGAGACAGGGTCTTGTTCTTGCTCAGGTTGGTCTTGAACTCCTGAGCTCAAGCGATCCTCCCACCTGAGCCTCCAGTGTCCTGGGATTACAGGTGTGAGCTGCAGTACCCACCCAAATGGGCATATAGTTTAAAGCAACAAAAGAGCTGTACAAAGTAGTACATAATTAGCACCTAATCAATGAGTGATGAAAGCACCACCAGTGTCATTCCAGCTCTTCTGGGCAGGTGAGAAATAAAGGAGGTCGAGCAGGTGTCAGGTGCCCATCAGATGGTCAGCAGCCTGCCCTCTACAGGCAGGAGACACTGACAGAGGCAGTTTCAAAGGAGGAACAACATGCAAGCTCACCATCTGGGTCACAGCTGCTGGGGGAGAAGAGCATGTCCACTGCTGAAGGGACACAGGATGAAATCAAGTTAGTTTGGTGGGATGCTCAGCTCCCTGGGAGTGAGCGTTAAAGAGCATTTCTGTTGGAACAGAATGCTCCATCTTCAGTTTTAGGAACACCACGGATATGGAAGAATTCAAGCATCACATAACGTTTCTCAGCTCTTTGCCTTTCAAAGTGCTCTCCTAATCCGACGTTTTGATATGGCATGTGCTATGTCATTCTTGCTACTGAATTCCTGATTCCAGAGCATTCTACCCCTTTCTCCCTCCCTACACTGGCCCCCTCTGGGCTGTCTCCACATCCCCTCTTCATTTCTCCAAATGTCTGTATTTCTGTGATGGCAAAAGTCGGGACTGGGAAGACAGACGATTAGAGTCCCTGTTCACCCTTATCTAGTAGTGCCATCGCTGTGAAAGGGTAGTGTGGGGCGCAGGGATGGTACTCAATGGGTCCACGTTCCTTCCCATCTCTGATGGTTGCAACCAGTCCCCTGTATACATCCAAGGGTCCTTTCAGTTTCTATCCATTTGGGGAAGTTGCATTTTCTTGGTATTTACGGAGTCTGGACAAGAAAAGTCAGTAGTGTTCACATCTCTCAAAGCCTGAAGTAGGGCTGTGGCTTTTGACTAAGGACGGATGACATTGTGGCTGAGTTTGCACACCTCTAGCAGATGGAAACCGAGACACAGAGTCCCATTCAATAGTGGAATTGCAGAGTTCAGTTTTGCCTTTTGTCAATCCTAAATTAAAGTGCTAACTGAGCAGTAGTCAACCTTCTTATCTCCGTTTTGTAAACGGGGAAACTGAGGCACAGAGCAGTACAGTGACTTGTGGGATTTTCTGAGGGGTCCTTCCAACTGTTGATGTAATAGCGTCGTCTATGTTGTCTTTGCGGAGAAAAGGCCAGGCAAGCAGAGAGTCTTGACCCTGGAGACAGGACCCCCGCCACTCCTACCCCATTCCCGCCCCCAGGCGCTGGGACTAGGCCGAAGTGCCCTAGTTCCGGAAGTGACAGCGACTCTGGCACACTGGAGAGGGAAAGTGGGAAGTCACAACAGAGGCTGGAAGAGCAGTACTGAAAGTTGGGATTGTCTGGTATTTCTATGAAGGTTCCTGCAGGGGGGGTGTCAAGATACTCACAGTCTGCACAGTAGGGGTGCAGGTATTTAAAGGGTTAAGAACACCCTAAGAAAATAGAAGTAGGAGGAGGAAGTGGGGCGCTGGGTCGCAGCAAGAGAAGGAAGCAGCTCGTCCGAGCTTCCTCTTTCCCCGAAGTCCTCACCCCAAGCCTCTGTCCCCGCACCGCCCACCTCTCCGGAGGGTCCAAAGCCGCGCTTTCGCCCCCTTGGCCAGCTTCACCTTATTCCTTGGGAGTTGCAGGTGCTCGGCGCTGGCGTCCCTCTGGCCACTGCCATACATTACCGAGGATCTGTTCCTTCCGGGAGCAAGGGCGCTCAGAGCCGGGGGCTGGGTGGTGGTGGGGGTTCGGGGGGTGAGGCTCAGACGCTAGGCGGGCTCCTGGGCGTGACTTCTAGGATGCGTGGCCCAGCCGGCACCAGACTTTCACAGCACGGCCTCCAGGCCCCGCCCTGGATCATGCCCCGCCCCTCAGGCCCGCCCCACCCCGCCCCGCCCTCAGTGAGAGTCGCCAAGTCTGGGCAGATGCTGGGTCCTGCCGCGCGGTTGCAGCTGGGGCGCGGTGGTCCCGACGGCCACTAGAATTTCAGGGAGTAGCCGCTAGAGAGGGGCTCGGCGCCCGGCGGGGACTGCAGGTATGTGGCGGGCCGGCCGAGACGGATGGCGAGGGCACGTGCGGGAGCTCCGGGTGGAGCCGGAGAGCGCTGGGGGCCGTCGGGGAGCGGTGGGCTCCGAAAGCAGCAGCAGCAGCTGCAGCGAGTAGGCTGGACAGGTGCTGCTGTCTTCGGGTTCCCTGGATAGGGCGCACCGTGGGGGCGCTGGGTCTGCAAACCCACGTAACATAGTCCCGGAGACAGAAGGGGAATCCCAGGGAGCGTGCGTCGTTATCTGGGTAGGAACTGCTGGACCGCTCTGTGCAACCAGTGTGCCCGCAGCCAGCCTCCTGCCTCTGTCACACAGGCGCTGCCTTCTCCAGCTGGGAACTCTGTCAGTGAGTGTTGTGAGGAGGCCTTTGGCAGTTGTGGAAATGCACACCTTAGCCGCCGGTGGGGTCTCGTCCTGCGCCTCTGGTTAGGGAGCGTGGGTCCCCAGCAGTAGCTGCTGTTCTGGAGAATTTCTAACTTTGTGCTGTCAGAGGATCCGTGATTGTTTACACACCGGGTGTGCATTCGAGACTGTGCGCGCGCGCGCGCTCATATGCTGTCCTATCCTAGGCCCCAGCTAAATACACAAGAAGTTCAGGTCAGTAGGAGGAAGGAGATTGTTCAGAGGGAAAAGGAAGGTGAGATGAAAGCAGCAGGATGTGGTATAAAGTAAGTTAACCAGCCTCGGAGCAGAAAGGAGAGGGGGGTTTGGGCGAAATGAGGGCTTAAAGTAAGTCAAGTGTGTCTGGAAGGTCCCCTCTGGATTGCCATTATCATCCTCCTCCTTCCCATAGGCTGCTGTGTCTTCTTACCCACTCTTCCTTCTTACCCATTCTGCCCTGTACTGGCTCCCAGAGCTTGCAACACTTTGGGCTCTCCTGGAGTGTTCTCCAGGCCCTAGCTCTACAACACGGCTTTCCAGGGGTAAGGTCTAGAATTTGTATTTTGCAAGAATTTGAATGGGCTACTTACATGACGGTGCTGAACTATTGCTTGGGAACCATGTGTGATGTGGAAAAGAGACCTGAGTTCCAGCCAGGCCTGGCTGTGTGACCTTCAGTATCTTTACTGTCCCTTTCCCAGCCTCAGTCTCCTTATCTGTAAAATGGGCTCTCATAGTGAAAGGGTCCTACGGCTGTGTGGAAAATTAAAGGAGGCAAGTGTGATGAGAGCAGCTGCATGTAGGAGGAGCTGCATGGATGTTTGTAGAAGGAGAGCTTCTGTGCTTCCTCAGGGTGGCTTTGGTGGTGTGGATCTTCATCTGGGGGCTCATGGAAGACAAAGCTGACAGTTTTGACGGTCGAGCTCTCTCTTCCTGATTCAGGGCAACCTCCCCTGCTTTTTGAAGCCTAAAAAGCAAGGCATAGGAATGCTTGGGGTCATTGTGTAGTGGGTATCATTGGGGTTTTAAGGACCTCCTTTCTCTTATCTCTAGTTTAGGGGCAGAATAGTCATCTTACCTCCCAAGCTGCAGTGGAAGCAGACTGTCTCTGCCTCCCTACTTCCCTTTCCTTCCTCCCATGCACTGCTTTTGTTTCTTTCCAGTATAGTAGGGTGGAAGCTAATAGTGGTACTGGGTGACAGAGGTCTTTGGGGCTGATGGCAGCATGAGGATGAGAAGGCAGGGGGTGCAGGCTGACCCACAGTCCCGGGTCAGTCAATGATCAGAGGCCTGCTGGCTGAAGAGTGGGAGGGGATGGGAGCCAGGAGCCCTTGTGCCTGGGCAGCCTGGAGTTTAGAAGCCCCAGCTTGGGTTCTTCAGCACATTCAAGCTGTGCTGACTTGGTCATCATTCCAAGAGGCTCACCCGCAAGGGGCTGAGCAGGCTGGCCCTATGGAAACTCTATGAACCAGAAGGCCTATTTGGCTTCAGCTAGTGGGCTGAAAGCCTGAATCAATTTTCTTGAGAGGAAACTTATAGAGGGGCAAGAAAGAACGATTATTAGCAAGTCAAGAGAGAGGTGTTTACTCTGGTATTTGAGTCTCTGGCATAGATGGGGGGACCGAGGAAAGACTACATCTGACTTCTGCCCAAAGGGAACTCCCAGCAAACATATATTATATATTAGGATATTTCATCAATCTGAAGATGTGTTTATTGGCTCGGCACCTGTGGCTCAAGTGGCTAAGGCACCAGCCACATACACCTAAGGTTGCAGGTTCGAGTCCAGCCCGGGCCTGCCAAACAACAATGACGGCTGCAACCAAAAAAAAAAAAAAAATAGCCCCGTGTTGTGATGAACTCCTGTAGTCCCAGCTACTCTGGAGACTAATTCTTGGAGAATTGCTTGAGCCCAAGAATTTGAGGTTGCTGTGAGCTATGACACCACAGCGCTCTGCAGAAGGTGACAGAGTGAGACTCTGTCTCAGCATAAATAAATAAATAAATAAATAAATAAAAATAAAGATTCTATACTATAGAATCTATAGCATGGGCATCCCTGAATTGTTGATCTGTGAGATGGGGATAATCATAGTATCCACTTCATAAGCTTACTATAAAGATTGAATCAGCTAGGAAAGTA